CATGAAAGGAGGAAGAAGTACGGACACCGAGACTGCTGCCAGTAGATCTGAAGTAGTAGGTGCTAAAGCGAAGTATGAAGATGTGTACACTAGCTATAGCTATAGTATAACTCGCCTGATTACGATATCATTATGTGTACGTCCATGGGCTTTGAGCCGTGCTATAGTGGCTTCTTTGGTTTCTCAGAAAGCACTGCTTTTATGTACGGCGGTACTAAGCGATCCCGCATGTTAAACTTGGGACCTACAAGTCACCCACTTGAACGCGATCCTTCCGCGCAAGGCTGGTGTCCTCCTCTGTCAGAGTGGTGAGATGATATCCCCGCGGTATCTGCCCCTCGGCCCCCGCACTGTCATTCTCGTCGTCGAGTGAAAGACACCGCCAAGTGGTCAGAACGGGAGTAGAGTAGCCGAGGCCCGGTGAACGCGCCTCGAAGGCGGGGGTCGTGAGCAGGTCGCGATCGGCCCTCGGGCGCAGGGCCTGTGCTGACTGAGGCAGCGTGCTCAGTTCTCCCAGCAGCTGCCATCGCCTCAGCAGAAGCCAGAAGGCACATGCATCGCGCCCCCGCCCCCCTGGCTCATCGATATATTTCTCGTGCCACACTTAGTCCGCGCCCGTCCGCTCTCGCACGCCCGCACCACTATCTTGCGCTCTCCCACCACCTCGCACGCTCATCCGCACGCTCGCCGACGCGTCTTATCCGCTCACCACCACATCTCAGCCGCACCTTCAGCAGCTCTAAGCAATCAGCCATGTCCGACGCAAAGTCCTTCTACGAGCTCTCCGCGTCCCTCCCGGGCGGGAAGACGTACAAGTTCGAGGAGCTCAAGGGCAAGGTCGTCCTCATCGTCAACGTTGCATCCAAGTGGTACGTCCCCCATCCTTGCCCCCCCCCTCCCAACCTCCTCTTCCCTCCCTGCCTCTATCCCGCATCCCCGCGTCCCCACATACTAACGCGGTGCGTCTGCCCCTCCAGCGGGTTCACGCCGCAGTACAAGGGCCTGCAGGCGCTGTACGACAAGCACAAGGAGAAGGGCTTCGTCATCCTCGGCTTCCCGTGCAACCAGTTCGGCGGGCAGGAGCCCGAGAACGACGAGAAGATCGCGCAGTTCTGCGAGCTCAACCACGGCGTCTCCTTCCCCCTCATGGCCAAGTCCGACGTCAACGGCGACGCCACGAACGAGGTCTACAAGTGGCTCAAGGGCCAGAAGGCCGGCATCCTCGGCCTCACCCGCATCAAGGTGCGTTTGTTTCCTGTGTGGTGTTGAGGGGGCAAGGGGACTGGAACTGGGACTGACGACGGGATGCGTACAGTGGAACTTTGAGAAGTTCCTGATCGACCGCGAGGGCAAGGTCGTCCACCGCTGGGCGTCGACGACGTCCCCCGAGGCGATCGACACCGAGGTCGAGAAGCTCCTCTGACTCAGCGGCAACGGCAACACGAATTCGAAGTTGTGAACAGGAGTGTATTTCTTGCTTGTACCATACCAGCATAGCACCATACTAGTGGGGCAGTATCCGACTCGTTCTTTATTGGGATCATCGAGGTGTGCATCGTACCACCATCATCGTACATCGGCGCGCATAGGCACAGTCGCTAGCTTGGGCGAGGCTACAGCCTAAATCACCACACCGACCCCAGCAACTGCAAAATATCGACATGCAAGCGTACAGCTATATTGACAATGCGCAAAGTCTCTGCGCTCCACAACAGCAGGAGCGCAACTACGGAATATACGACGTATCAAGAGCGCAAGGCCTACTAACACACGTGCTACGAACGTCTATGGGCAGAGAAAACGAAGCGGATAACAAATACGGACCGGTGTATGTACTATATGCAGGACAGCAGGGCGATCGTGGTGGGTGGATGAGAGGGGATGGGGTGTGCGGACAGTCTGTGTGGGGAGGTGCGAGAGCGGTAGCGAGGAGGATGATAAATAGGGGTAGGAGGGACGAGGAGGGAAGGGCGGGGCTGAGCCTATAGGACGCCCCACGCGAGCGCGCAGAGCACCGCCGCGACGCCCCACGACGCGCCTGTGTGCGCCGCAAGTGGCCGTGCGCCGTTCTGTGTCCAGCCCTCGGGCACGCCGAGGGTAATGCTCGGCGTCGCCGCAGTAGACACGCTGGTGAGCGTGTGCCCGCTCGTGTCCGTGATGACGAGCGTCGCGACGGTGGGCGAGGGCGTGATCGCAGGTAGCGCGGTCGCATTCTGGTGCTTGCTCGCGAGCAGTGCGACGTAGGTGCTTGTTGCGAGCCCGGTCTTCACGATCTGCCCGCGCGTCGCGGAGACAGATGTGTTGAAGGTGTAGGCGGGCGCTGTGGGCGAGGGCGTAGGGATGAGGAAGTTGGGCAGTGTGGTGCCGACGGTCGCGGAGTACGACGCGAGGAAGGCAGAGACGGATGCCGAGGGTTCGATGGGCGCGCTGGCGTTCGCGAGCGGGAAGAGTCCGACCATGGGCGATTCCTTGTTGTTGATGCCGAAGCTGGAAGGATCGCTGTTAGCCGTGCACGAAACAAATTGCGTGTGCGCTTTACCTGTAGATCGAGTACACCGTCCTCAGGAAGGGCGAGCCTAGAGTGTGACGATATAAGCGTGATGCTGCATATAATGTTAGATGTATACGCACCGAGCTGCCAGTCGATACCATCCGAGCTCGGGTTGCTGGCCCTCGGCCACGAGAGACACAGGTTCGGGTTGCCAGAAGCAGGGCCGATCATGTAGTCAGTGGGCTGCAGAACGAAGTCTTGGCCGCTACGTACCCCACACGATCAGCCGCTACACCAGGAGTGAAGGACACAGGACACGCACCCGAAGTTGAACGACATTGTCTGTTCCGTGTCGCACGGCACAACCCATTGCCCGATGCCTACCCGCGAAGCTCCATTGAGCACCCGCCTTCTATGCAGATGAAATGAAGGGGAATGACGTACTGTCGTCCACGAGGCGTGCCCCGTCTATGAGGGCATACATCCGCGAAACCTGCGCGAGCTCCGAATCAGCGCCAGACGCCCATTTAAGAGGAGTTCGAGAGGCACAGCACTCACGTCCTGGTACGGGCCATAGATTCCGGCGGTGCCTCTGTCAGGCACACCACGGAAGGTGGAGCGAAAGGTAATTGACAATCAATACACGAGGCATGGAGAGGATTAACCTCGAGAACTGGATCAGGTACGCACACGTCGAACAATGCTATGGAGGAGTTCAGGGTCTGGGTGGGGTAAGTCGGCTCCGGCGTTACCGCGGTGCCGTTCACCTATTTGCGACATATAGTTGTGGGTCCACGCTGCACATATAAGCTGTTATTGAGTCGCGGACGTACCGAAATGTTCTCAAGCACCAGCGCCCACTGGAGGTACGACGAGGCGTTGCTGTTGCTATCACTCAGGAAGGGCGCGAAAGGCACCACCTCGTTCCATTCGACGAGGCTCCGGTTCGTTACCACCGAGCCGTCGATGGCACCTTCCAGGGCTGTGAGCGCTGTTAACAAGGAAGCGAGAACGTACAGGACAAACCTAATGCGAGGGTACCGCTAGAGTCCCTAGTGAGACTCAGTCCGAACAGCGGATAGTCCAGCTGTCCGTTTTGCGCCATGGTAGCAAAGAAGGGCGTCGCTAGATGGCCCTAGTGAGGTCAAGTGCCGGGGATAAAATGGGTAGAAACCTACCGTTCACAGCACTGTCTCCAATCGTGGAGAGGCGGGGGAAGCCGAGACCAAGAACGCCGCTCATGCTGTCGGTGAAGTGCACAGTGGAGGCGTTTGCCAAGCCTAATTCCAAGCATGTCAGTAATTGCTGTGGCAGCCATGATATATGCTGGGGGTGTATGCTTCGAAAGTATATCGCAACCCAACAGACGGCAGCCAACCGTGTGCCGCTAAACATAGTTTGTGACATCCGGGAAGGCGCTCCAGGAATACCCGCCGTACCATCCGCAGCAGCATGTGCGACACCCCGCACTCTGCGCAAAACAGTGACTCACCGAGAGCCTGGTTCGCAACAGTCAAGTTGCCCAGGGTGACTGACTCCCTCGCGATAAATCCTTGTGCGCCTAGACATGTTTTAAGTGAGGATATGTGGAGAAATGGAACTTGCGCGCGCACCTGTCGAATCGGCATAGGTTACATTGAACGTGGTGCCGTTCGAGTTTACGGGAACGAATGTCGAGCTCTCGAAGGCGAGAGGGTATTTGGGGATGTTGCACGCGCTGGAAGTACAGCCCGAGGAAACGAGCCAGAGGTCCGCGGACGCAGTATCCAGTGCAAGGCGTAAGGAAACCGAGCCCACACCGGCGAGGGCGTAGTACGTCCTGCGCACACATGCTGATCAGGCGCCGCGTGCGTGCGCGACAGGGAAAAGGGCTCACTGTCGGTCCGAGGAGAAGACGACGGGGACGATGGTCGAGTTGTTCGCCGGCGGGAGGTCCGTCACGATGCCCTCGAGGACGCGGGCGTGCAGGCCAGAGCGTGCGGAAGTGCTGCCGATGCTCTTGAGACTCCTGCGCATGTCTGGCCGCCAGCTTCCAGAAACGGCGGAGGCGCCATCGAGGAAGGCGAGGACGGAGAGCAGGAGGAACAAGGGCAGCATGTCGTGGGCCTGGCGGAGAGAGCTCAGCAGGCAGCGAGCATGTGCGCGGGGATTATAACGGAGATGTAGCTGATGGTAGGAGGCAGGCGGGGGAAAAAGAGCGGCGGGAGCGATGCGAGGGGCTGCGCTGTGGTCAGTTGAGAGGTAAAGGATCCGGCCTCTCCTCCCCAAATGCCAGGGTTGCGCGGGCGTCTACCGCACATAGTCCGGGGTCAACTGCCCTTCCTTTGCATTACGTGAGCACAAACTCTAATCAACAACGGGTTGATGGGCGCTCGCTCCGCCCTCTGTTCCTTTGCACACCGCCGTCACGGTCGTTCGTCTCAGCTCTGTACTCCGCGAACGAGAGGTCTGTAGCGATATATGCAGCTCAGATAGTACCGCAAAATGCCCCGTATACTTGTCCTGCTCTCCGTCTTCGTCCCGGTCCTCTCTATCCTCTGGGTCTGCCGGTCCTTCCTCCCCGCCTTCGATCTCGTGGCGAGCTTCCCACTCTCTTGGCCGCTCGCAGTGCACCCCGACCACACCAGTGCGCAGCACGCCCATGACGACGCCCATTCCGCCCAGCGGCCTATCGAGGCCATCCAGCTCGGAGCCCAGCACAGCCCCGGAGCGCCGGCCCACGCCCACCCGTCCGAGGCGGTGGACACGGAACGCGTAGCGGGCGAGTTCAAGCGGACGATAGTGGCGGTCGGCGACCTGCATGGAGACCTTCCCAACGCGCAGAAGGTGCTGCAGATGGCGGGCGTGGTTGATGAGCACGGAGACTGGTCCGGGGGCGTAGACTTCTTCGTGCAGACGGGGGACATCATTGACCGGTATGCACTATGCAGCCCCGGCGGCGCGTTTTTGTGATAGTAATTCTGACGTCGTGCGTGCAGGGGAGACGACACTATTAAGCTGTACGCATGGATGGACAAGCTCCGGGAGCAGGCGAAGGCCACCGAGGGGACCGTCCTGACACATTTAGGCAACCACGAGTGGATGAACGCCATCGGTTAGTAGCCTTGCAGCTCGGTGGCGTATATTTGAGCTGATAGACGACCTTTGCACCGACAGGCGACTGGAGGTGAGCCGCGATTCGTCTGTCACAACACGAGCCCGCCCGGTACTAATTAACTTCAAGGTATGTGCCCGCCACGGAAATTAAGACGTTCGGCTCCGTCGCCGCGCGCCAGAAGATGCTCGCAACAGGACGCATCGGACGCAGCTGGGCCGCAAACTACACGACCACCTCGCGCCTCCCGCTCCATCCCGCGCTCGGGCCGCCGAACACGGACTACGACCCGGAGACGGACTCTGTGTCCACGTCGCCCCTCTCCCACGCCGCGATTTCGTTCGTGCACGGGGGCCTCGCACCTGCGTACCCGGACTTGACACCGTTCCCGTCGCGCATCAACGAGCTTTCGACGTCGCTGCTGCGCAAGCTGCAGCACCGCAAGGTGCACCCGCCGCCGCACCCGCCGAATCCGTACCCTGGTCTGCCTCATGAGGCGACGAACCAGGAGCACCGGCTGTACGGGTCCGACGGACCCTTGTGGTACCGTGGGTGGGCGCTCGACCCCGAGGAGAAGGTGTGCAAGGAGGTGGACGATGTTTTGAGCAGGACTGGAACGCGCCGGATGGTGATGGGACACACTCCCGACTTCCAGGTGGGTCATTTTCGTCTGGCATTGGCTTCAACAACAAACAACCTGAATGTGTGGCAGAAAATTGTATCGAGATGCGGAGGGAAGATCATCATCATCGACACTGGTCAGTAGTCTTCATCTCCCGCTAATCGCTGTGTCTCTTAATACTAATTTCGCATAACTCTAGGCATCTCGCACGCATACGGCGGCGCGCTGTCCGCGCTCTCAGTCACCTACACGCTCACACCTGTCTCCGCCAGCAAGGACGCCTCAGAGCAGAAGTGGACGGAGAAGGAGGTCGTGAAAGCGTTGTACCCCGACCGGGAGGTGCTTCTCGCATCTGACGAGAGGGAGGTTGTTGGTGATTTCTTCTAGATGCTCGGTTTTGATTGGAGAGGTAACTTATTCCGTTATTGTTGTCGGCACGCATTGGATGGAATATACCCCAAGGGCATGCCCAGAGCCATATTGGCAAGTACTGCTAGAGTTTCGTTCATGCGAGCTCGGGACTCAGCAATGCAGAAGGAAGTCTACTGAGATCTGTTGGAGTCATTCCAGGACAGGTACTCTGCCGTGCATGACGCGCTTCGAGGCTATGTTGATGTCATGCCCTGGACGGTCCCCGTGCTTCGCTAACAAGCATCCAGCCTAGGCCCAACTTACAATAGAAGAAACGACGGACTAGCGCGGTTTCATTTGACGTCTCCGGCGGGTAATGCTCACACCCAACATTTGTTCAGAGCCAGGATCATGCAGATGCGGCACATCCCCCCGCATGCCGGGGAAGTCTTTGGGGTAGGGAACATTCCAGTCTTTCTTGGAATTCATGAGCAGTCCGCCACGAAACCATTGACACTAACTCCCGACATAGCACCCGGGGACGTCGGGGACGGACGGTGCGCTCGACACGCCTACTGTTTACGCGCCTGGGCGTATCGGCACAGCCCATCGTAGTAGGCCATCGGAGTGGGGCCCAAAAGTGCGGAGGTGAGTAGCGCAAGTCCGAAATGACATCCGAGCTCGCGCCCCTACGTCATACACGTGTTAGGCAGGTGGCCTTCCATATCGGGAAAAGTAATAACGGGTGGGACGTCGATCGCGCGTTGGCGCTCCAATGACATCTCCCGCCTGCCCGCGACTTATATACCCGCCCTCTATCGCACGTCTTCGCCACTTCTCTTCTCTCCATTAGCCCCTCTGCATACACCCACATCCTCTACACTACCACACAAACACCATGTCTCCCCGACAGACCTACATCGACTACGCGAACACGCCTGCAAGTGAGCAGGAAGTTTATTTCGACGCTCCCGTCGCCTCATGGGGCAAGGACGACTCTGACGACGCACCTCCCACCATGTCAGGCGAGCGCACAAAGACTCTCCCCGGAGCCTTCGAGCCCGAGCAGCCTCTCGAGGACACCCGCGCCCCAACAACTCTCACGCACAAGCCCTCTCTCACCATTGGCGCCCCCCGTGATCCCATCGTCCGCAAAGGCCCCGCCGACGGCGACGAGGACTCAGAGCCCCTCAGTCCCGCCCAAGACTCGATCTCAGGAGACAAGCCGCGCTCCAAGGTCAGCCAACACCGCCGCTCGATGTCCGTCGCCGACTCCGGGTACGGCTCGACCTCCCCCTCGTCCAAGCTGCAGCGCTCCGCCTCGCGCGCGAGCACGAACATCGCGCCCCTCCCCGTCGTCTGGTCCAAGTCGCCCAGCAGCGACGCGCTCCAGCGCGGCCAGGCCATGCACCACTCGCTCGACGACAACGCGCACGGGGACGAGGACGCCGACGGGGCGCGCCCATCCGCGCGCCGCAACGATACCGGGTTCAAGCGCGCGTCGTCCCTGCGCTCGTTCCGTTCGGCTGCTCCGACGGAGGGCGGGCGCGCGAGCGTGCGCACGACGCCGTCGGTGCTGCGCAGACGCCGTGTGAGTCTGAGCGGGGGCAGCTTCGCGGCTGGGGCGGGCACTGTTGGGCCTGCGGCCAGCCAGGAGATGGACGAGGAGTTCGATGCGCGCAGCCGGAGCGCGGAGGCGGGCTTGACGGAGAAGCAGAAGGCGAAGCTCAATAAGGCACAGAGTGAGTGCTTTTGGGTATATGCGGTTTTGATAGATGCTGACAACCACTGCAGTGAAGGAGGGCAAGAAGGTGGCCAAGGTCATCAAAGCGGAGGGGAAGGCGGAGAAGAAGGCCCTTGACGATGCTGTCAAGGAGCTTGCCGACATCCAGAAGTTGCAGAAGTCTGCCGTCAAGGTACGCTTTCATAGTTCCATCTGCATGTCTACATTATCTAACAGCGCCCCCTGTTCTTCTAGGAGGAAGGAAAGACATATGCCTCCTACTCGAAGGTGCTCCGCGAGTTCCGCAAGGTGGAGCTTGAGTACCTTGCTGCACGCGCCAAGTACGAGCGCGCGCAAGCCGAGTTGAACGCATTCGAGGACGCGCGCGAAGCATCGAAGCAGCACGCTCAGGATGCCACTGAGATGCTGCAGGAGAAGAACAAGGAGGTTGAGTGGCTGAGGGCGCAGAAGGCCGTCGACGACGTGAGTATATCTCGATACCCGGTTCCCAGTGAAGTGCATGTATGCTAAATGTTTGTCTTCTTTCAGCGCGAGAGATTGAATAAGATCAAGCAGCTCACCGGGAAGGCATGAAGCATCCCAATGCCCCCCAGGCTACGCCTTTGAACGCTCGCCAACGACACACGCTTCATGACCTCAACAAAAACGACTGATACCCTTATCATGCTATGAACGGGAATTTACTATATGCTACTCAGGTTATTACCCTTGTACTCTACTGCTTCAGTAATCTTCTCGTATACCATCCACTTTCACCTCATTTTCTGGCGGGATGTTCATGTTCTAATGTGTTACTCACATCAATTGTGGGGATTAATCTATAGACGCCCGTAAAGGCTGGCCATGGCCGGCCCACGGCCAAGCGACTCTCTCTTTTTCTCCACCATCTCCTACAATGTCTCTACCTGCTAATAACATGCATACTCCTGGGAAACCTCCAAAGATCATTCATTCTTGAGATACGATTCATACGACCTCTAGTCGATCTCCTTTGCCGCCCGTACCTCTAGCGCATATACCCCAAGCCGACACGTTACGTTCAAGTGACACGAGCTGAACAGATGAACGTAATTTCCTGCAAGTACTGCTGCGTGCCAGGATATATATTCTTGGCCCCCTAGTGCAGGACACACACTGTCATCTTGCTATAGCGCCCCCAACTGTCCAGTGGCTCTCCCTCCTACACGTCCACTTGCTTGTGAAGCGTTCTATAGCATGCTATTGAAGATGTCAAGGGGCCCGCAGCAAGAAACTCAAAGTTTGCGCCGAAGACGCCTTCGACCCAGCTCGCCCATAAAATCGGCGGGCCTCTTAGGAGCTTGTCTCCCCTAGGCAGACGAAGGTGATCTTGTCGAGGGGGGGAGGACGATCACACTAACGTCTGCTTTCAAACGCGCCCTCCTTGGAGGAGGGTCCCCTTTCTTCGATGCCGAGTGATCCGATGGTCCTAAATAGGTATTCCCATACTAAGACGCCACGTGCGCTCCTTATATGGGAAGACCCAACATGGAAATACGGGCGCCAACAGCTTGGCGGTTTAGTCGTACAGCACTCTCGGCCACTGTTCTCTCGGTTTTATGGCGACAAACTAGCGCATAGGACGCAGACAGTGAATCAATAAGCTGCATATCATTTATGGGTAGCTATATATCAAATTATCGATACCACTTTCATCATCTAGCTTGATAGAATTGAAATTCTAGTCCGACTTGTCAAATATCGACATCCATTTATCCCCCTGGCAATGCAGCGGCGTATTCCCCATCTTATGCCAGCTAGAATCACACGGCACATATATATCCCACCTGTTGCTCGGGTACCAAGTTTTCAGGGCCATACCCTCCAGCAACGCAGCCACGCCCCGCCGTGGAAGGCATTTTGGGAGTCAGTCCTTCAGCGTGGCTTCGCATCATCGAATGAGCTCATCTGGACGTTTTGCAGGGGTCTGATAACCTCGCACTCACGTATGGTCTCATACTCAACCACCCTGTATCCCGATTTTGTGCAAATTGGCCTTTTGAAGCCCGTTCACCGCACATCATGCAAGCTATTGAGCAAGCCCAGAGATTGGTGCGAGTCTTGACGGTTCCTGCACCACGCAGATAGCGTAAACAAGATCCTGCGCAGTGCGCTATACTTTATCATGACAATAAAGAGGCTAGAGAGTAAGACCAGCTTAGCAGTATGGCTAGTGTTTGACGAATGGCCGGACGCGTCGCGCGCGCGACGCGTCAAGTGTGCCTGTGTATAGATCTCGACGCGTCGTCGGAGATCAATTGTCTGCTGACAAATAATGATACGGGACCCTCCTCCAAGCATGCCTCAAATGCATGCAGACTACTTAGGAGCTTTCTTCAGCCAGCCGCCGCGCATGCGGCCCTATCCTGCTACTTCTCCTCCATGCCTCCGGCGCCGCCGGCACAGGGCCGCCGCCCAACAATCAAGTTACCGTGCATAGGAGCATTCGGCGAGCTCGGTGCACACACACCACCGCCTCTCTATGCCCGTAGGCCTGCACAGCCGAGCGAGCCTGCTCGGGCGAGGCCTGTGAAGAGCCCGGGTACACATCCTGTGCGTCCTGCGCACTCCTCCCGCCCTGTGTGCTAGCTTGCTGACATGGGTGTTCGCTATATCAGGGTATGGTCGTGAAGTGCCCGTGTGAACGCGGCGCTGGCGCGAAATGCTCGTGCCTCGTGGCAGCGATGAGAACAACGTCGGTGATGTATGGGTGGGCTTCGAAACTGAAATGCGATTAGACTGTCTGTGTCCCTGCGACGCCTCTGTCGCCTCTGCTCGGCCCTGGACACTACGCTGGCTGCCTCTGCCTATCTGGAGACTCTCTGTGCTGCGCTGAGATCTGGCTAGGCATCGCTTTCTGCAGGACAATTGCCTTCCTGCCTTCCTCACGGCCGGTGGCGGTGAAGAGCATGATGATGAAGTGTCAAGAGTATGTTGGCAGCTACCGCCTGCGGGCACGTCCCCGGCCAGCTTCTCTTCGGCTTGTTCCTTTCTAGGTGCGCTCGTGCCCTGCACGCCTTCGAGTTCGTATATATGACCTCGCCCGCGACCAACCATGCCTCTCCCAGCCCTCCTCGTCGCCGCGTCGTCGGCCGCATCCCTCCTCCTCCTCCACAACTCACGTAGTCCTTCCTCCCTAATTCCTCACGATGGTAATGTTACGAACCCTTGTGGGCCTCCTGGCCTCCATAGCGACTGTCGCCGCGGCCTCTCCATCTCTGGCACGACGCGTCCTGCACGAGCGCCTCGACGCGCTCCCCCCACGGTGGTCTCTCCATCGCCGCGCAGACCCAGATGTGGTCCTCCCGCTCAGCATCGCCCTGCGGCAGGGCAACATCGACAACCTCGACGAGCACCTGCTCAACCTCGCCGACCCCGAGTCGCCGAACTACGGCCAGTGGTGGACGCCCTCCCAGGTCGTGCAGGCGTTCCAGCCCTCCACGGAGACGAAGGAGGCCGTGCGCGCATGGCTCTCGGCCGACGGCATCGACCTTGCGCGGGTGCGCATGAGCAAGGACCACTCGTACATGCTCGTGAACGTGAGCGTGGCGGAGGCCGAGCAGCTCCTGGCGACGAAGTACTACGTCTACCAGCACGAAGACGGGTCCGAGGACATTGGGTGCCACCACGGGTATCATCTTCCCGAGCACGTCCGCGACCACGTCGACCTCGTTACTCCCACTGTCCACTTCGAGATGATCAAGCTCGGCGCGCACGGCGGGAAGCGCAAGAGGAGTCTTTCTCCGGCCGGGAAGATGCGCAGGCCAAACGGCGCGCCCACGCACAAGACGGATGTGAGCATCCTATCAAGCCGAAATGCACGCGTTGATGCTAACTGATATTTCAGGAATCGTACCTGGATGCTGTTGACTGCGACAAGGCGGCCACGATCGACTGCTTCCGCGCCCTGTACAACTTCTACCCCAATCTCACTGAAACGGGCAAGAACTCGATCGGCGTCGGTGAGCATGGCATGCTTCCGTAGAGCACATTGCGGAGATACTCATCGATGTACAGTGGAGCTCGCGGACCAGACGCTCAATGCCGATGACCTGACCCTATTCCTCCAGAAGTTCAACCCTGATGCTGCGGGCATTTTGCCAGCATTCCAGCCAATCGATTTGGACTCGGGTGAGTTCCACCTCTCTTTGTAGGAGTGGACAGTCATTGACGCGGTCGCGCAGACACCCCGGACTTCAACGAGACAGACCCTGATTTCATCTCGGAGCCGGACCTCGACTTCGAGCTCGTCATGGGTCTCATCAGCCCCCAGCAGCCCGTACAGCTGTTCCAGGTCGGCGGAAGTGCGTCTTCTCCCACTCCGTCGCTTATGTTGTGTGCAATTGACTGACGATGCGGCATTGCAGGCGGCTCGATCAACTTCCTCCTCGACGCGTTCGACGGCGGCTTCTGCAGCTTCGACGGCGGCGACGACCCGGACATCGACGGCCCGCTCGACGTAACCGAGGACTGCGGGGGCACGAAGCCCGCGAACGTCATCTCCGTCTCGTTCACCGGTGGCGAGGACTTCCCGCCGTTCTACATGCAGCGCCAGTGCGCAGAGATCGGCAAGGTATGCCCTTCGTCTATTCGGATCCTCGCATTGCTGGATGCTGACGAGCGGCGGCAGCTGTCGATGATGGGCATTACGTTCCTCTTCGCGTCCGGGGACAACGGCGTCGCGTCGAACGGAGACAACTTGTGCTTGGCTGCGAACGGCACCGCGGTCCCTGGCCCGGGAGCGTTCCTCCCCAACTTCCCCTCGACGTGCCCATACGTCACCGCCGTCGGAGCGACGCAGGTCGACTCCGGCAAGTCGGTACGTCTACCCTCTCCCTTCGCTCCCACATATATACAACGAAGCTGCTCATCTGTACGCGCAGGTGCACGACCCCGAGAGCGCAACGTCGCTCTTCGGCTCCGGCGGCGGCTTCTCCAACGTCTTCCCGCGCCCCGAATTCCAGAAACGGCAGGTCGCGGGGTACCTGAAGCAGCTCGGGAACCGCGTCGACCCGAGCCTGTTCAACAGCAGCGGGCGCGGGATCCCGGACGTGAGCGCGAACGGGCTCCCGACGGTCGCCGTCATCGACGCGAACTACACGCTCACGGGCGGCACGTCCGCGTCGACGCCGATCTTCGCGGCGATCCTCACCGCGGTGAACGACGCGCGGCTCGCGGCGAACAAGACGCCGGTCGGGTGGATCAACCCCGCGGTACGTGCATCTGCTTGGGTGTGCGAGAGGGGCGAGACGGCTGACGCGTGCTGCGTGGGCAGATCTACTCGCACTGGTTCGCGGACGCGTTCCACGATATCACGAACGGGACGAACCCGGGGTGCGGCACGGACGGGTTCCCTGCGCTGCGCGGGTGGGACCCGGTCACGGGCCTGGGCACGCCTGACTTCCCGACGCTGGTGAAGCGGTTCCTGTGGCTGCCTTGAGCACTCGCTGTTCGAGTCGGGGGACGTTGGTCTGCGCGGCATGCACACGGATAATGAGGGCTTTCCTTTATGTTTGCAAGTGCTTACGTTCGAAGGGAGGACATGGACCTCGCGATTGATGACTGCGCAATGACACTGTGACTGTAGACTATGGACTGTATCTTAGGCTTTACCTACTGCTGACCGCACCACAATCGATCCCTCTTTAGCGACGGTATCAGGACTCCGTGCCAGTGCTGCCCCCTGGTTTTTTTTGGAAGGTAGACATTCGCGTAGAGATTGCATACTGATCTAGCTGAAACTTACTCCACGCCTCATGCAGTGACCTGCCCCGCACAAAGCAGTATTAAATATATGAACTACAACAACGACCAGCGTACCCGTATGTCCGGCTGTCGGGCAGAAGAAACATGTTTATGGTTCCTCAATACGTCTTTTCTTCGGCGTAGTGGGTCCCGCATGGTCAGCGGTACCTCCCGGGCTCCAGCTTGTATGCTCTACGAGCGACGAGTCGCCACAATCGTCCGGCTGCTGACATGTCCATGTCAGATGACAATCATGCGACGGACAGGCTGCGCTTACATGCAGGGGCTCGTTCTCGCCCGGCTCACCGGTCCACGAGAAGTCGATGGCATCCTCGAACATAGCCTCTTCATCCAAGTGTGGCGACTGAACAACTGAATCCTGCCAGCTCTGTGAACTTGGTACTCCGTCCAGACGTTCGAAGAATATTTGTCCGGCCCCGAGCATCTCCAGCAGCCGCTTGTTCTGCGCCACGGAGAAAGTAGATGGATTCTGCAGAGGGATGGCATCGGGCCAGCCGACCAAGCGCACCCCATAGGCGTCCAGCTTTGAATGGTTGGTCCATTTCATCTCTGCCGTTCTGACGCCCGATGCGGCTCTTGTGGTGCATGATGCATATAGTTAGCCTTCAGCGGGACCGTCGAGCCCCCAGAAGCACACCTGAGCGCGTCGCGCATAGCTGCGTACAGCTCCGCCTTGAGCTCTCGCGCAGAACCTTTCGTCCCCGTTCCCGTCGCGGCTGGCGGCACAGGTGTCGGAAGGAGTGTAGGGTCTATCATGGGAGGTGAACCAAGGCTGTGTGGCCGTGATTGCGCGGCGCGGACGCAATGTGCTTTGAACATCTGTGCGCCTGGGGAGCCGCATCCACGGTGGCCGCGCCAGAACTCGCGCCCAGAAAGAGTTCCGCCGAGGAAGCCCTCGTCCGCTTGGTCGGATGGATCGACTACAAGAAAGAACGATTGCAGGCCGGCGAGGGTTTCCAAACACTCCATTTGCCGCGACACGCTGAGAAGCACACTCCTCGCTACGCGTATTCGATGTTCAATTACCATTCATGCTGTGGTAATAGCTACGCACTGAGTTCCTTCCTGTCTCTTGTCGACGTCGCCACACTGGATGGTTCGAAGAGGTACTTCGAGTGCAGCTCTGCCATACGTTTCCGGATCTACCCAGGCCCGGTCCTCAGGACGCCTATAGCTCCCATGTCAGAGCACACATACCTCGTCGAATGTCCTGCATTCGCGTTCAGCAAAGGCCCGGATGTCTGCTAGGCTTTGTTCGAACAGCATATCAAGCCGCTCCAGGAAGAGCGCGTCGTCCGTTGCTCTCTCCTTGCCTTTGTTGCCGAAGCTATCCATTATAGCATCAAACGAGAAGAACTATGCTCCAGTATGAGTAGTGCGACACAGAGAGCTTGCAGAGAGCTGGGAGCGAACGGTGCCACAGGTCCAGATAGCCCCAGATGACGGCAAGAGACAAGTCGCGCGTCGCCACAATTCGATCGAGACGCCCGCACACATTCGCATCTAGGCGCCCAATATTCTTTCTACCTTCTTCAGCTCCTGCTCCCCTCCCGCCCGCCCGTCCGCATTCCACACATTCTAACATGGGACGCACACGACCAAAAACTCGCAAAGCGAAAGCTTTAGTCACAGAACACACCGCGGAGCCGGCCACTGCGCCGCCAATATCCGCACTCCTCGAGAAGGCGCAGGAGCTGATCGTGAGCTGCGACTACGAGCTCGCGGCCCGCTTTGCTCGGCGGGTGCTCGAGCGCGAGCCGCAGCATGTGGAGGCGAAGGAGATGCTAGGGGTTGCACAGCTAGAGACGGGCGAGCTCGAGGCTGCGAAAAAGGTGCGCTTTGATCACTTTGCAGGGAATACCGAAGACCGGCTGATACATTTTGGATTTGCGCGCACAGACGTTCCTATCCCTCATTCCCCCACATCCTGGAGCGCCGCCGACGCCTCCACCGTCGGCGCACCTGTATCTTGCGCAGCTGAGCGATGACGACCCGCACCTCGCGCTGAAGCACTACCAGACGGCTGTGGATATTTTATCCAGCCAGTTGAAGGGCAAGGAGCGGGCCGTCGATCACGCGGCCGCAAACGACGACGACGCTGAAATCAGGCGGAGTATCGTGCGTGCTATCATTGGGATGGTGGAAATCTGGATGGATCCCTCATACGACCTATGGTATGTGTCTTGCAAATATTCCTGCTCGGACACGGCAAATACTCAGACCCCGAAGCTTTGACCCCGCGGCGGAGAAGACGTGTGAGGATTTGCTCAACCTCGCGCTGCAAACGGACCCCGGGAATACGGAAGCGCTGCAGGCGTTCGCCTCGGTGCGGATGTCCCAGCAGCGACCGGACGATGCGAAGGCGTACCTAGAGCAGGCTTGGAGCCAGTGGAAGGATCTCGACCTTGGTGTGTTACGCCGCTATTCACCTCTATATCTCACCCGCTAAACGAACCGCAGACGACTCAAGATTACCGCCAATACCGAGCCGACTCGCACTCGTGAAACTTTTCCTGGAACTTGCACTCTACACGGCAGCCCTATTGGTCCTGCAGGGGATCATGGCGGCGGACGATCAGGAAGTCGAAGCGTGGTATCTGGAGGGCTGGTGTTTCTTCCTCATGGCCGAGCAGGCGCAGGAGAACGGCGGCAAGCTCGACGAGCTTGGGTGGGAGGAGCTCGCGCGGGATGCACGGGACTGCCTGGAGACATGTCAAATGGTTTGTGGACCCCAGACTCGTGACTACCACACAGTGGAACTGACAAACGGCCGCAACAGCTGCATGTCACTCAGGAGCACCCAGACAGGCCGCTGCTCGAGCACGTCGGGGAGCTCATTGCGAAACTCGAAGCTCTCGGTATACAACCGTCCCCGGAAGAGGAGGACAGGGATGAGGAGGGTGGCTGGGAGGATGTCGAGGGAAGCGACGACGAGGACGGCGATGTCGAAATGTCATGAGTATTGACATTTCCCCCTGATTTTACGTTGCGTCAACGGCTGAAAAGTACAGTATCTCATAGGCGGTTTACACTGGATTTCTTGCATTAATTCTCGCTATAGCCGGGATGCGTCACACACGACACACAACGTTTGAGATGGATGATCGCCAGTTACCGGTCAAGCAAAGCAAGACCACCACTTCACGTGAAGCTTGCGAGCAGGAATGAGCAGCTCGGTGCTGGTAAAATCTGTCTCGGGGAGGCTGGTCGAAACCACCACGAGGCTACCAAACCAAAGTGCATGTCCAAAAGCGGTAGGCACCTACCTATATCGGGCGGGACTGTGAAGACAGGTGAAGTTGTACATACAGCGGCCAACGACACGGTCACTCTGCACGTGAGTCGGTTTAAACAAAATAGAGTTCTGTCCGATCACGTCGAGCAGCCTCGAGAGCAGTATATAAGGCTGCTCATTCCCGCCCACTCTCCCCAGCACTCCCCTTGCTCTGTGTCTTCGTCCTCTCACCCCACCTACCTCTAAGTTCCTCCTCTAGCTTCGTCACCCCCTCTAGCTTCATACTCCTTCTAGCTTCGTCATCCTCCTGGCTTCGTCAACCGTCTAGCTTCGTCCTCCCTCTGGCTTCCGGCTATCATCCGCCCCAACCACACACTCGTTACACAGTCGCTCCTTTCTGTCTACGGCATCACACCCCCACCGCTCGTTTTCTCGACCACAACACTCGAGGCCACACCCCACCACTCTCAAGCCGACATTTCCCCTTCCAGGCTGGCGACCTCTTTCTGCAATCGTCAAGCCCCTCCTGTCCTCCCCTCACCTCCCCTCGCATCCCGAGCCTGGTGCTCCCTCCCTCCGACACGCCGTGCTGGCACACGGTCACCGGCACTCACAAGCAACGTATTGATAGCGACACAACGTTCAAATGAACACGAGAAATCAAATGCGTGGCAAGACGCGATGCTTGCCCGCGAAGCTCCCCACCCCGTCCGGGACAAAGTTCCCCCTGGACCTGGCACTCTGAACCTCCCCTTCCCCTGGTTCTGGTGCACCCCTCCCAAATCCTGCTCTCCCCGGCCTCTACCTCCCCTTTGTCAACCTGGGAGCTCCATGTCGTCCGCTCCCTGTCGCTGGCTCTCCTACCCTTGGACTCTTCGCTCGGTAGCCCCAGTACCGTCAAGAACCCCGGACCGACCCTACCAGTGTTCTCGAAACCTCTCCATCCTCATCACCACACCCGCCGCGCCGCCCACCACGTCCATCCTCGCGCCATCCCGCCCACCGCCAACACAGTCCCTTCCGTATCATCTAGCCTCGATTTGTATCCATATCCCTCCATATCTCACTCATGTATCGGTTCCGTTTATAACCCATTTTACTCTTTCCCTCATCTCCTCGAGAAGTTCAAAGCAACGTGTGCCTCATGTGTGAACCACTGACCGGGAGTAACTTACCGTAGCAGCCACACATGAAGTTTTCGAGGTGTGCACACCATTATTGACGCTTGGGATTAATGCAGGAAAGCTGATCCGAGAGTGGAGTGATATTAGGGCAGTATACGATAAAACCAGTATTATGAGGAGGGCTTCTCCTCGCTCTTTTTTCGGTCTTCCGCCCTAGGGGCGATGTCGTACCCCGAAAAGCCCTGAGAGGCTTGCACAATCTCGTCGTCGGCGTCGGGCTCGAGGTGGCCCTGTGCGTTCCGCCGTGCCCTGCGGAAGCATAAGTCAGCGCTCGGACGGTATCGGGTTGCGCCTAAGGGGCGTACCGGAAGAACGTGTATGACAGAACGACGTCGTCCAGATTCCGGCAGGCGGGGTCGTCGAGCACGTCGCGGTCGATGAAGAACAGCAGGGGCATGTCGACCTCTTCGCCGGCAAGCAGCTTCTGCTCCTCGAAGCAGAAGCACTCCACCTTTGCGAAGTACGGCGCAATCTACACCACAAACATGTCAGTGCCCTATGATACCCTAACGCAAAAGGGCAGACGCACCCGGTCGGGCGTGACGTTGTACGTCGCGATGCCGATGATGTCCTTGTCGGACGTGTTCTTCGCCTTGTAGAACGCGAGGCTCGTCTCGCCCGGGAGCACGCTCACAAAGCGCTGCTGCGGCGTGAACGACCACGGGAGCGCGTCCGCCGTGTCCGCGTTGAAGTGCACCTTGATGCGCTTCGCGTCCTCGACGGGCACGAGCCGGTCCGCCTCGAACTTGCCCATGCCGACCTTGGGCGTGCCCGCGAAGCCGGTCGCGGCGCAGAACATGCGGTAGAGCGGGACCGCCGCGTAGGTCACGCCGATGCCCGCTATGATCTGGGCGACGGTGGATGAGCGTTGGGAGGGAAGTGGAGGAGAAGAGGAAGGAAAGGGGGACATACCACTGCGCTGGTGTACATGAGCAGGCTACGGTTCCGGGCCGCATAGAGCTCCTGTCTGTTCTTGAATTGTGGGCGGGAGCCACCTGGTGGAGGCGGAGGAGCATTTGACGAACTCGACGAGCTCGAAGGGCCACTCTCAGTCGATGCATGTCTGCGAGGTATCCAGCTCGACTGTGGGCCGTCCTGGCGGACGGAGCGTGCCGGTGTTCTCCGTGAAAGACCGTGCAGACCTCTCTGACAATGACAGCAGCGTCAGGGGCGCTCCAGAAAGTCCGAGCCATACGAGCTCACATGTGTCTGGCCAACGAATGAAGACGTACGCGCAGTCGAGGAAAGGCACTGTGCACGGCAGGCTGGTCGGAGGAACGCCCCGCAGAAAGAGTTCATGGCAGAGACTGGAGAGAAGGCGTCGGTAGCGCCCGCCCGCATCTCTGCTATAGACCCCCACTGCGCACTCTGACCCAGGGTGCTCTCTATTGCCTCTCCTCATCTCAGACTCCCGCCCGTCATCATCACCACCCGGCCTCCGCGCGCCGCCCCGTCCGTGTGTGCTGCAGAACGCGACCGCGCTGTAAATATCTGTCCCCGGTCGTCTTGCGTACTCAGTCGTCATGTCTGAAGCAGCGTCGTCCTCGTCGTCCGCGCCCGCCGCCAGCTCGTCCAGGGCACCCCCGAAAGATGCCGCGACGGAGGACATTGAACGGCTCCTCAGCAGGGAGGCCACCGCGTTCCAGCGCGAGATCGAGGTCGAGCGTATCCTGAAGGCGTTCAAGCTCAAGTGCGTCCTGGTGTCCTGTCTCTATTCCCCGCGCCAAGCGCGATACTGACTACGCCTATAGCCCGTACGAGATGCTGGACATCAGTGAGGACGCGACACCCGAAGAAATCAAGAAGAAGTACAGGCAGCTCTCGCTCTGTGAGCATCCCGACCTGCTGGCCTCCCCGGCCCTCCGCCCATGACCTTTATTGACCACACATTGTACGTGTCTGATAACCAGTCATCCATCCTGACAAGACGTCCCATGCCCGCGCCCCAGAGGCTTTTGATCTCCTCAAGAAGGTGCGTAGGTTCAACTGTGCTATGCCTCTCCGCGCCACTGGCTACGCCTACGCGCGGTCTTGTGCACCTGAATGAACGGAATGCTGATATTCTGGCTGCCTTGCAGGCGGAATCAGAGCTGTCGGATAAGCAGAAACGCGAGGAGCTCGACGCCGTGATCCACCAAGCGCGGGCGATCCTGCTGAAGGCGCTCACCCTCCCTCTGAACACCCGAGATGACGACCCGCGCCTGAAGAGCCTCACGCCCCCATGGAAGCAGCAGCTCCTCACGAAAGCGAAGGAGATGCTCATAGACGAGGAGGTCCGACGACGGAAGTAAGTGTCTCGCACGCATTCACCGCGGAACCGTGCTCATATTCTTATGACAGAGCCGTAAAGATGAATTTGGCAAACGAAGGTCTCGAGGCGCGCAAGAAGGAGGAGGAAGTGAACGCCAAGAAGCGCAAGGCCGAGGAGGAGGCGCGCTGGGAAGGTCCGTTCCCCGGCTATTCCGTCTTTCTTCGGTGAATGGCTCGCTGACGCCGTGTGATGTTGCAGAGACCCGCGAGCAGCGCGTCGGCAATTGGCGGACGTTCGCCACCAACCCCAAGAAGAAGAAAAAGACGAAGGTGACGCTCCTCGGCTGAACGCCGTTCTGTGGACATCGTGTGTATATTAGAGGCCTCCAGCGCCGTGCAGCAGGACCGTCTGTATGTATTCCCCATATTATCGATATAGATGAGTTTCGCATCCCCCGAATCCCCCAAGCGCGTCGATAGTCAGTGATATAAGCTTACAGAGTGGTATAATAAGTACGACCGCGAGCACGCGTGCATCCCTAGCGGAGCACGCGCCGCTCGACCCAACACATTACATCAATTTCGTATGGTATCGTCCTGCGTGTACGCATATTCCGTCTTCTCACTGACCCTTGCGCGCCCCCCGGGCGCACTGCCCTAGTGGTAGCCTCAAACACATTCATGTCCCTCGTCCCTCTCAATCCGAAAGCTCAATCACGTCCTCCTGCGGGGGCTCCGGCGCGACGCGCCTGCGCACATGCCGCGTCGGGACGGGCACATTCTCCTTGTCGCCCTCGACCTCGTCGTCGCTGATGTCAATCACGTCCATCGGCGCGTCCGCCCCGCTGCTCGACGACGCCGGGCCCGCGGCCACCGAGCCCGCGCGCCGGTGTGCCGCCATCCCAGTCGTGAAGAGTGTGCGGGTCGTGGACTGACTGCGCGGCTCCGGCTTCACTCGCGTCTGCGTCTGCGGCGCCTGGACGCTGCTCGCGCGGCCGTTGGTCGTCGCGGGCGCGGCGGTGTTGGCGGTGGCGTTGGCGGTGGCATTGGCAGTCGAGTTGGCGACGGTGTCGCGGAGGAGCGCCTCCTGCGCAGCGCGGTCGACCTGCTCGAGGAAGCTCTCGTCCACGTCGAACTCAAAGTCGTAGTCTTCCGAGCCCGGCTCGCCAAACGAGACCTCCGCGCGCTGCTTGCCCTTCCCGTTAGAGGCGCCGTTGGCCGTAGGTGACATGAACGGATTCTCCTCGTCGTCGCTCTCTGGGAGGTCCGCGGGCGGCGCGCGAGGTGGGGAGAGCCCAATGGCGCGGGCGAGGCTCCGCATTGCGCCTGCGTCCCCGGAGTTGACGCGGACCCTGCCGACGTCTGCGTCTTCGTCCGCGCCCGCGTTGGCGCTAGCCAGGCCACTCGCACTTGCGCCACTTGCTGGCTTGGAGAAGAACCGTGAGCGCTGCAACACTGCTTCGCGCGGGGGTGGGTCCGGGGAGGGAGAGCGACCGACACGACTGGGTCGTTTCCGGCGACGAGGCTGGCCCATATCATCGTCATGCTCACGCTCGACTCGGCGTGGCGAGTTGGCGCGGCCGGCATCTGCGTCGTCCGCTGGAGGAGAGATGTCGCGGAGTGCGGGACGGGGAGCAGCTACTGGATCCTGGGCGGGTACCGGTTGGATGTCTGGTGCAGGTTCAGGCTCCGGTACGTCCTCTCTATGGAGAGTATTTGTTAGTAGAGGGGATATGCCTATTGAGGGCTGGCGTACCCTAGTCTCGCCTTGAGAGCACGGAAAAATATGGCGTCGCGCTGTGCATCCCTATCGTCGTTTTTCGTACCCTCCATTACCTGGACACAGTCGGGCTTCAGGAGGGCGGTGTTGTGACGGATTGATACGTTGCTGAGGATCATCTGCCCTTCGAGCGTATCAGCGGGTGATACTTGGAGTGCATATAGTTTAGCAGAAGCACCGGAAGGCGTGGAACTGACCTTACAACCCAACGGGGTTTCGCCTAATTCGAACTGAGGAAATGGCTTGCACTCAATCCCGGGCAAGACGGCCACTCCATCGCTCAGTTGGAACTGCAGCATCGAGCGCGGATACTTCGGCATCGGTTTGCGTTCTTCGCCATTCCTCTGCTCGCGCCCCTCCCGCAGAGCCGCCTGCTTGCGGTACTCCTCGCGCGACTCGTAAGTTTGGAGCAAACTGTATGCGCTGTGGCCGATCTCCATTATGCCGACTACCTCCACGAGAATGGGTCCTTGCAGGACGGTGTTCTCCGCAGCGTTGATGTTCTCTGGGAAGCCTGTCCCAGGGACCATACTGTCGGCGAAGTCCGACGCGAGGAGTTGGGCGTTGACGAGCTCGAGGATCGCGGGCATGTCACGCGCGGGATCAAGGTTTCGCTCCTCCAGAATCCAGGAATAGCAACCTTCGATCCATTCCTACGAGGCGAACTGGTTAGCGAAGTGGCAGAAGCTCCACAGGGGGCAGCATACAGGATCGACGGTCGGTCGCGGATAGGTGCGTTTGAGCCACCGGGCAACTTCGGCGGGAGGGCGGGTCATGCTGGTATGCGAACTAGGTGCAGTGAGAATATATCTTTGAGACGAAAACTGTGAGTGCTGTCGCTAAGCTGATGGACATAGGGCGCGCCCGGTGAAATGTACTCACCGGAGGGAAGGAAGCCCGTCTGTCGGGAATTAGTAGGAGGATATATGCGCTAAAGCGGGACAAAGACAGCGTGTTGATCGTATGCAAGATGGGATATTATGGCGACAAGGAGCGTAGTGATCTTCCGGGTTTGGGGAGTTCTATCAGCGCGAGGAGCAGTGCGCGCGTGTTGGTGGCGGGCCTTGCCTAGAGGTGCTATTGATATCTAGGACTACGATCGACTGATGCTCAGCGTGAAGATGCATAGAAGGCTGTTATGACATACGCGTCGTCGCGATGAGATCGGAATTTGAAAGAGTGGGCGGCTGGGGGCGGTAGCCAAGTCGATGCAGGGGGGCGACCAGTCGTCAATGTCCGCGAGGGGTGGCTTGGCGGCGTGCTCGGGTGGTATCTTGCGTATTCGTGCGCGCTGAGTAGCGTCGAGGTCGTGGCGGCCCAGGCGGGGCCCAGGCGGGGGGGCGCGCGGGGATCGGTGGTGGTGGCGGGAAGAGAAGAGGGATAAGGAGGGATTGGAGTGGACGCGCTCGGTGCTCGCGATTCGCGCAACGCGAGCCACGCGCGCGCGACGCGTGACGCGCCTACACGTGATCCCCGTTCCTTCTGTGACGTCGATCGTAGCCGACTCGGTCCGTCCCTGAGCTTCTTTGCCGCTCAGTGCAGCGTCCAAGTCGCCCAACCTCTCCCTCTCACCATCCGACAGAGCCCTCGCGCTGGCGTCATCGGTCGAAGCTGCCTGTCAAGGCTCTGTGCCAGATGCCCGTCCCTCGCTCGTCGCCCTCTGCTTCCTCCACAGACTCTGCG